TCTTTTTGGAGGGTCTTTTTTGATGGGGCCGGCCATCTGGCAAAGAAGAAATTGATGTTAGTAAAGCAATAGTAAACCATCCCCAAATATACCATATACTGTATGTATATATATATATATACCAGTAGTACATATATATATATATATATATATACTAGTAGTACCGCACAAGGCGGTGGCGGAAGTTTCAAAAATAGGAAACCTATAGGAGAGCTTGGTTGTTGTGAATCCGGGATGGCAGAGCGAAGCCACTGATGGACTGAAAGGTGCTTGATCTCTCTCACTCTTTCTCTCTCTTTCTCTGACTATCTACCTACCTAATCTATATATTTTCTATGTATCTATCTATCTATCGATCTTTCTAGTGTAGTGTAATGTAGTGTAGTGTAATTTAGTGTAGCGGTGTGTAGTTGTGTAGTTCTGTAGTTGTAGTTGTAGTGTTGTGGAGTGTAGTGTAGTGTAATGTACTGTAGTGTGTGGAGTGTATAGTGTAGTGTAATGTAGTGTAGTGTAGTGGAGTGTATAGTGTAGTGTAATGTAGTGTAGTGTAGTGGAGTGTAGTGTAATGTGGCGTAGTGTATTGTAATTTCTATAATGTAGTGGAATGTAGTGGGGTGTAGTTGTGTAGTTCTGTAGTTGTAGTTGTAGTGTTGTGGAGTGTAGTGGGGTGTATAGTGTAGTGTAATGACCCGAAGCGAAGCGAAGCGACATCTGAACCTCCAAAAGTGGTCCGAACCCCTAGTGTTTTGTACATTTTGACTTCGAAATGTGCTTCGCGCCACAACGGCGTGCACTTTTTCGAGATCTGAACCTCCAAAAGTGGCGCGAACATGTGGTGTTTTGTACATTTTGACTTGGAAATGTGCTTCGCGCCACAACGGCGTGCACTTTTTCGACATCGCAACTTCCAAAAGTGGTCCGAAGCTGGTGTGTTTTGTACATTTTGACTTGGAAATGTGCTTCGCGCCACAACGGCGTGCACTTTTTCGACATCGCAACTTCCAAAAGTGGTCCGAAGCTGGTGTGTTTTGTACATTTTGACTTCGAAATGTGCTTCGCGCCACAACGGCGTGCACTTTTTCAACATCTCAACTTCCAAAAGTGGTCCGAACCCCTCAGTTTTTAACACATTTTACTTCCAAATGTTTTCGCGCCTCAACGGCGTGCAACTTTTCATCTCTCATCTCCCCAGATGTCTCCGCTCCCCCGCTTTAGCGAGCCTACTTTTCAACCCTCCGGAGCCACAAAACCACGAATAAACGCAGTGTTTCGCGACTTTCCTATACCTTTTCGCGCACCTGCATCTTCTTTTTTCTGATCTTTTCTCTTCTGACTCTTCTCCCTGCTGACTGCTTTTTCATCTCTCCATATTGTCGGAAGTTTGACTTCCAAACTTCCTTCGAAAATATATAATATATTCATAAATGGCTGGTATACACCATGAAAATATGGGTGGTTTATTTCATTGCCATGTTAGGACTGCAGTGGCCCATGGAACTCCTCCCTCATCAGATGTTCACGGGGGCATTTGTTTGATGTACACACCCCCTATTTCCAGCCACACTCAAATATCAGCATATATCCCATTACATCCCGTTATATCCCACTGTATCTCCAATCCGAGTGGTTGTTTAGGGCACCCCATTGTTGTTGAAGAATCTTCCAAAACGTGCCGTTCTGAGAAATTGCCGAAGTCATGGGTTTTTCTGAACTGTTGGATTTTCCATGTCCCAAAGCATAGATGATCTCCGGAGAACCCAGGCATGGAATACATTCAATTTTTGACGTTACTCCGACTCCTGGGGAGTATTTTGGTCCCAACAAACTCAGTGTGATAAATCTGGATCCATCATCTCTGATGGTTTCTATATCATGGTTGTCAGGGTACATCACCTATTTCAGACAGATTACCCTCTGGTTATTCAACATAGCCATGGAACATGGCCCATTTATAGATGTTTTACCTATTAAACATGGTGATTTTCCATGGCTATGTTAGTCATAACCAGATAGTAAGTAATATTTAATGGGATGTCAATTTTAACCCATTTTTTGGAACCTGGTTGGAGCCAATGAATCAAGCAGATCAAGCAGTGGGAGACGCATCAAAAAAAAATAAAAATGCATCAAAAAAACAAATAAAAATGCATCAAAAAAAATATAAATGCATCAAAAAAAATAAATGACCATACAGGAGGAAAGGAAGGAAGGAAGGAAGGAAGGAAGGAAGGAAGCCTTGGTAGGAAGTGGAAGTATTGTCTTCATTGCTTCCTTTTAAGTTGCTTAAGTGCTTCCGTGTGTGATTCCTGGTATTCAGGGCCTTCCACGCTTGCTTCCTTTTCTTCATTTTTCGTCCATTTCTTTCCGTTTCTTCCTTTCTTCCTTTTTTCTCTTCTTTCCCTTTTCTTTCCTTTCTTCCTGTTAGCTTCCTTTCTTCCTTCCTTCCCTTCCTTCACTTCCTTTCCTTCCGTGCCTTCAGCCTCCTTCCCTTCTTTCTTTCTTTCTCTAATCCTTTCTTTCCTTCTTTCCTGCCTCTTCTTTCACCTCTACTTATCCGGCTGTCCTTTCGGGATCTTTTCCTTCTTTCTTTCCTTCTTTCCTTCCTTCCCTTCTTTCCTTCTTTCCTTCTTTCCTGCCTTCCTTCTCTTCCTTCCTTCTTTCTTTCTTTCTTGTTCTTTCTTTCTTTCCTTTCTTCCTTTCCGCCTTCCTTCTTCTCACTTGCCTCTTTCCGTCTTTGAGCTCTTCTTGTTCCTGCTTTTCCTACTCTTCCTATCGTTCCTTCTTCCTTCGGTTTCCTCCTCCTGCCTTCTTTTCTTCCCCTTCTTTCCTTGCCTTTCCTATCCTTCCTTCCGTCCTGCGTCTGTCCTCTCTTTGCCCCCACCACGGGCAGCGTGCAAAGTGCTGCTGAGCTGCTAGAGTTAAGGGGTTTCCAAAGCTATTTTCTGGCCTCGTTTTGGCATCGTTTTTGGCCTCGTTCGGCACCCGTTGCAGAAATATTGAGCTGAGATGCAAGTCAGAACCACATAGATGTGTTTCCAAAACATACCAAAAAAATACATGAATCATGCGCTAACATTTTGTTTTGAACCCAAAGATAACATTTCTATACATTTCTTAGATGTACTTGTTATCCTTTAAACATTAGAAGTCGGAGGGGCATTTAATTTGTTGTTTTTTTTTCTCCTTGGTTCCTGGTGGCTCCTGGCTTCTGCTACTGCTACTACTACTGCTACTGCTTTTTCATAAGCATCATCCTTTCCTTGGGCTCATTTCAACTTTATTGATATCCATCGAGACATGTGCCTATGTGCTTCTTTCTTGGTACGCATTGCGGGGGGAGGCGCTGCGCCCTCCCCCCTGCGCCCCCCACCCGCTTTTTTTTTATTAGCATTTCCTTTTTGACGACTACTACTACTGCGACGACGACTACTACTATCTCTATTACTATTGCTATTACTATTACTATTAATTACTATTACTATTGCTACTACTTCTACTACTACTATTACTACTACTAACTACTGCTGCTGCTACTACTACTGCTACTGCTACTGCTACTACTACTGCTACTGCTACTGCTACCCCTGCGACTATTGTTATTCTTACGACGACAACCACATCTACTACTACTACTACTACTACAACAACTACTACTACTACGACTACTACCACTACTACTACCACTACTACTACCACTACTACTACCACTACTACTACCACTACTACTAGTACCACTACTAGTACCACTACTACCACTACTACTACGACCATTACAACCACTATTGCTGCTGCTGCTACTACTGCTACTGCTACTGCCACTGCTACTGCTAGTGCTACTGCTACTGCTGCTACTACTACTACTATTATTACTACTACTATTACTACTACTACTGCTACTACTACTACTACTGCTACTACAACTACTACTACTACTGCTGCTGCTGCTGCTACTGCTGCTGCTACTGCTACTGCCACTGCTACTGCTACTGCTGCTACTGCTACTACTACTACTATTACTACTACTACTACTACTACTCCTCCTCCTGCTGCTGCTGCTGCTGCTGCTACTAAAATATTTTTTTTTGATACGGATATTTTTTTTTTGATCTAGGTTTGCAGCACGAGACTCAGGAGGTCTCACACAGTGGCATCTGGATATTTTTTTTTTGATGCATTTTTTTTTTTGATGCGTGCTGGATAGCTACTGCTACTGCTACTACTACTGCTACTGCTACTGCTACCCCTGCGACTATTGTTATTCTTACGACGACAACCACATCTACTACTACTACTACAACAACTACTACTACTACTACCACTACTACCACTACTACTACCACTACTACTACCACTACTACTACCACCACTACTACCACTACTACTAGTACCACTACTAGTACCACTACTACCACTACTACTACGACCATTACAACCACTATTGCTGCTGCTGCTACTACTGCTGCTGCTACTGCTACTGCCACTGCTACTGCTACTGCTACTGCTACTGCTGCTACTACTACTACTATTATTACTACTACTACTATTACTACTACTACTGCTACTACTACTACTACTGCTACTACAACTACTACTACTACTGCTGCTGCTGCTGCTGCTACTGCTACTGCTACTGCTACTGCCACTGCCACTGCTACTGCTACTGCTACTGCTGCTACTACTACTACTATTACTACTACTACTACTACTCCTCCTCCTGCTGCTGCTGCTGCTACTAAAATATTTTTTTTTTGATACGGATATTTTTTTTTTATCTAGGTTTGCAGCACGAGACTCAGGAGGTCTCACACAGTGGCATCTGGATATTTTTTTTTTATGCATTTTTATTTTTTTTTTGATGCGTGCTGGATATTTTTTTTTGATGCATTTATATTTTTTTTTGATACGTGTCTCTCAAGCAGTGGTATCTTCCTTGCCAAAGTCGCACGGGTCAGCTTCGTGCCATGACGGTGACGTTAGCGCCAAATCCAGCGCCCACCGCAATGTCTGGCCCGGAAGTGTTGAAAGGCGCAACATGGTTTGAGTCTTGGACACCGAATGCGGAGTCAGAGTCAGCAACTCTTAGGCAACTTCGCAGGTAGCAGCTGGTTCAAGACCAGGGCTCATTGTATGATGGTATACCTGGTATGGGTTAAAATGTCACTCCCAACAAAGCTGTATTGGTTGTATTTGGGTATGAAAGATGATTGACTTGTGACTACACGTGCTTGATGTTTTTCGAGGATCCGGCAATATGGTCAAGCAAATTGCACATTACAGGTGGCACTGAACCATTGGGATGCTTGCACCACCTGTTATTGTACTGAGTATGCGACCGGGATCACACCCAGCAATGCTATGAATTAATTGTCTTGTTCTCACCAATTATGTCTTTGTTTTTTCTGGTCAATGCTTCCACAAAGTGTGTGCTGAAGTGTGCTGTGAAGCCATGTTCCAGCAAGTCTCATGGCCAAGTCAGATGTGATCATGGGGATCATAAGCCCTAAACAAAGCCTTATCTCTTGGGGGTCACTTCAGGGGTTGGTCGAATCCACATGATGTGAGGAGACAAACTGGCCATTTATGAGCAGTTTCTTCTTTCCTATCGCGCTGGTGGTGCCTTTCTTGCCATTTTTTTTCAGCCGACCGTCGATCAAATCAGCGTTTCTGGATGCGCTTCGAAGTCCCTATGTCTCCTGGAGAATTTGCCAAGGATGGCGCTTCGGAAGAGAGGGGACGATGTTTTGAAGCACTTTTGGATTGTTATGTCTCCCAAAAAAAACGTATAAGATATCGTTTTTAACATACTAAACTGGTTGGTGGTTTGGAACATGTTTATTTTTCCCATCATATTGGGAATGTCATCATCCCAACTTCCATATATTGGGCTATACCACCAACCAGATGCATCCCCTGCCTCCCCTGCTGTGAGGTCTTGGGATGGCTGACGGTGCCTTTCTACCTGATCCATCAGACCGAAGAGCACGCCTATGACCTGCGCGGCTGGCGCTATGCCTTCGTGCCAAACTTCAATCATGGCGTGACCTGACGGAGTATGCTGGAGTTTTCGTTGAAACAAACACATGGCTGGGAAATGTTGGGAACATAGATGTCCTTTTCCCATTGGTTGGTTGATTAATAGAGTCATAGAGGGGTTTGTTTACCCCTTTAACAACAGGCAAATGATGATAGATGGTATACCAAACCGGCCCCTCTATTTTTACCCAAAGGACATTATTGGTTGGGAAGTCTTAACAGAAGCCTTTTTTTTGGTGTTGAAGTTGATGTGTTTCATCGGGAGTTAAATTCACCCGGCGATGTTCGTTGGGTCTATGTGAATTTACTGGATGGTATATTGGGTAAAATGTGTGTATAAATGGTTTGCATCAATATATGTCAATGTATCAACTTGCCGAAATATTATATCTAAGTTAGCATCTTGGGATGTGGCGGAGATGTGAAAAATCTCCCAATGGCTGTAGGAGCAAATTTTGGCCACACATTTGTGTTTCCGAACAATACTGAGTCAATTTCGAACATATTTAGATATGATATGCCTTTGTAATTCTAGAGTATAATTTTGTATATAATTTTATTTAATGTTATATGATTTACAGCCCGATTTAATGTCTGCCGGTCCAAACAACGACATTTCTGGCTTTCCGCCAATGGCAGGTCGGAGCTTTGCTGTTCGATTGCGAGAAGCAAGGGCACCTGCGATGTCCCTTGGAACCGCGAATCACCTTGGAACCTTGGGATTTCGCTGGTGCAAAATGGGTATGGATCAATACCTATTAATACCATTTTTAGGGGGATGAACATCCATTTACCAGCTATTTTGATGTTCACCAGGGGTACAACAAGGTTTTGACACACTGTCAAATCATCATTCAAAAAATGAATCTATCTGGGTAAATTTTGTCAGTAATCTATTGGTGAATCACCAGTAATTTTCCATATTGGTGTAAATCTTATAAATCACCACTATATACCATTATGTATTGGGATTTTAAGTAATCTATGTATCATATTGTATCATATTGTATCATGACATGACACATAATTATTCAAAATCTTATGGAGGTGAAAATCCATTGAACATCCATTGAAAATCCATCGGAATCCAAAGTTGTAGCTATTCTATCTGGGTAAATTATAACGACCTCGCTGTTCTCCCGAGCCCTGGAATCATGCTTAGTATACGGGAAATGATCCCATAAAATGGTCTTATTATTTCAGTGAAGTATGATAATTTACCCAGATCTATATATGTATGGTGAAGCATATCCAAAAATGGTGATTTTCCCATTAGCAAATCACCTATTGATAATCATAATCTATCATTTAATGGCCCATCTATAGGCTCTGGTAAGTAATCCATTGTAACTTGTATACAATTTCTCAATAGATTGGCCAATTTCATCCATTTTCCAGAGCCATTTTTCATAGGATACGAAAGGTTGATTGGTTCCGATCCGTTCTTGGAATAGCTATTAAAATTGAAAAGGAGCATTTAAAATTGAACAGGCAACACTCCATTATTGAACAGGGATCATTAAAATTCATGAAATATAGTGGAATAGCATGGAATAGCTAGAAACAAACCATTAGAACCAGTTCGCATCCTAGTTTTTGACGCTGCTTATTCTTGTGTTATGTTAATCTCACAATGGGAATATGCCCCAAGAAACTTGTCAATCAATAAACCATAGCTTCAGTTTTGATATGTATATATAATTATATATATATATGTATATATATATATATATGTATATATATATGTATATATATATATGTATAGATATATATATATATCAATATGATATTTGGATATATTTGGAATTGACTCACAACGGGGCATACCTCCCTTAAATGGCCCTTTTCATGGGGAAACTGATGGTTACAGGGATGTGAATTTTTGGGCTACCGGCGCTGTTAACGGACCCGCCGTTTTTGCTGTTTTTTTGCTGCCGCATTGCATGTCAGTTCGAAGTTGTGCCCGTCAGTTAAAAGTTATGCTCGTCAATTAGAATTTGTGCCGGTCAATGGTCAACGAATAATTTCCTCGCGTAACGTGGGACGAAAACACCATTTCGAATTTAAGGCAAAACACCAAAATCGTCACGGCGCCACATTTTTAAGCAAATCAATACAGAATAGGTGAAATAAAAACCATAAATAAAACAACCACGGGTCCGCTATCAGCGCCGGAACCATGTTTGAACCCAGCTTCCGTCCAAGGAGGTTAACGTGGGATGTGTTTGGATTGGCTTCGTGGTGTGCATGATCTGTGCGCACTACTTGCGCGGGCCCTATGCGTACGCTGGGATTTGCAATTGGGGCATGTGCATCGTGAACTCTCTGGGAGGTCATTTGCTTCCGTGGCTCTTGATGGGATACAACCCAGGCCCCGGTTGAGGTTGAACACCCGAATGGGACCCCAAAAATTGAGACATTGGATGTCAAACCAGGGTTTCTTGGGGTGACTGTTTAACCTTCTCAGGGAAAGGTGGTTAAGCCCTAAAGCTTGAAAGCCTGGGAGTTTGATGGCAAATCTTGAAGACTCCTGCGTCCAAATTTTGTTGATGGAAACTTCGGCACGAAATGTTTGGAGTGGATGTGGCTATCTCGAAATGTCAATTTAATTCAATTTATATATAACCATTGCATGAGGTAAAACACTGATACTGTATCTGTTTTTGGTGTTTTTTCTTACTGAAACTTGAAACCAGCGTGGACTTGATTGAGATTTTACTATCAAAAATTGGGGGGGGTTCATTCACTACAGATTGGTGTAAACACTGTAGACACCAGCTGGTGGTTCCAACCCCCTAGGGAAGCCAATAGATCAAGCAGAAGGGCTGCGTTTAGGGTAAAAACGAGCTTATCCCTTCACACAAATTATTGTTTGTGAATTTGCTCAACGAAAAAATCTGGAGCAGACATAGCAATTGATGATCCATACGCTGGTGGTATCTCACAATCCCAGCCCATTCTTTGCCATCCTTTTTTAATGTGGAGTAAATCCACCTGTGGACAGACCCCATATTTCAAGATTGTGGTTTCAGATTGATTGTTACACACATGGTATGTATTGCTTCAACAAAAGAGTTGTTTGACAATTCTAGGGCGTGATACTACCTGCATGAGTTTGGAATCCCCATTTACCAATCATTACATTGTTACATGCGGGATGTTCTAGGTTTTTGACACAGTCAAGCAGCGTTTGCAAAAACATGATAGTCTGCCATACACCAAATAACCCCTATGTGCCATGGTCAAAAGATGGATTTGATACCCATTTTTGAGGATAGTCATCGATCTGTTAGTTATAGGGGTTTATATCCTTTGTGGGTGACGATGACGCATATAGCATTTTTCAACCTGGCACACAAATCCATTGGTTAGTAATTAATCATGTTCCCTCTTCAAGTGACCATTTTGGGAGGTATACCCCATTTCCAGAAACACCACAAAATCGTGTTGATTAGTTGTATCCCATTGAATATCATAAACAACCAAAAAATGCTTGAATGTGTTCCAGCACCATCATATTTCCATCAGATGCTTATAGCCACAGTTGATTCTTCTCAGAAAAGGTACTGTATAGACTATACCATAGTTATAGCCACTATATTCTCAGTATGCTCCCATTACCTCCCCACTACAACACCATTTTTGTTGATTACGTCACTATTTGTGATGGTTGAACATTTGAATCACCACTAAACCCCCATGCTTTAAAGCTCAATAACTGGTGGTTTCCTAAAATGGGGGTACCCCCAAATCATCCATTTATAGATAGCTTTTCCATGAAATATATCATAGCCATTACTTTGGAAATCCCCAAATGCATAGTCACCCCAGCCATGAGTGCTGATGGAGATAGCAGTGGTTGTCACACTGCGAGACTTTCCATGTCATCCCCCATCTCTTCAATGGGAATTCCAGGATCCTAAAATGGAGCTACTGTACCATATAGGACCATGTTTTGTGGGGATATTCCCCTACATCGGCCTTATCGAAGGAAGTTTAGATGTCAAACTTCCGACAATATGGACAGATGAAAAGTAGAGATGGGAAGGGTCACAGAAGAGAGAAGGTCAGAGAAGAGAAAGAGTCAGAAGAATGAAGATGCAGATGCGCGAAAAGGTAGGAAAGTCGCGAAACACTGTGTTTTTCCAATGATTTGTGGCTCCGGAGGGTCGAAAAGTAGGCTCGCTAAAGCGGCGGGTGCGGAGCCAGCTGGCCAGAGGAGAGATGAAAAATTGCACGCCGTTGTGGCGCGAAGCACATTTCCAAGTCAAAATGTACAAAACACCACGCTTCGGACCACTTTTGGAAGTTGAGATGTCGAAAAAGTGCACGCCGTTGTGGCGCGAAGCACATTTCCAAGTCAAAATGTACAAAACACACCAGGTTCGGACCACTTTTGGAAGTTGAGATGTCGAAAAAGTGCACGCCGTTGTGGCGCGAAGCACATTTCGAAGTCAAAATGTACAAAACACACCATTCTCGGACGACTTTTGGAAGTTGAGATGTCGAAAAAGTGCACGCCGTTGTGGCGCGAAGCACATTTCCAAGTCAAAATGTTAAAAACACTAGGGGTTCGGACCACTTTGGAGGTTCAGATGTCGCTTCGACTTCACTTTTTACACTACACCTCCACTACACAAATTACCACTTCACTACACTACTTACAATACACTACACGACACTCGACGACAATAAACTTCCACAAAACTACGACTACAACGACACACGCCACTACACTACACTAAACTCCACTGAAACGAACTAACAAATCCAATATAAATCCGCTAAACTCGCTAAACAAGAAACTTCAAACTCACTACAAAACGACAAAACGAAACTACACAACTACAATCCCCCCCCAACTAACACTCCACTTTACACTAAATTACACTACACTACACTACATTACACTACACTCCACTACACTACATTACACTACACTACCTTCCACTACACTTCACTACATTACACTCCACTTCACTACAACTACAACTACACTCCACTACACTCCACTACACTCCACTACACTCCACTACACTCCACTACACTCCACTACACTAAATTACACTACACTGCACTACACTAAATTACACTACACTACATTACACTACACTAAACTCCACTACACTACATTACACTACAGTACACTACCTTCCACTACACTCCACTACACTAAATTACACTACATTACACTACACTACAATGCATTCCACTATGCTCCACTACACTACACTACATTACACTACACTACATTACACTGAATGACACTGCACCACAGATAGACAGGTAGACAGAAAGACAGATAGATAGATAGATGGATAGACAGATAGACAGCTAGACAGATGAAAGCGAGAGAGAGAGAGAGAGATATAGAGATAGATAGATAGGCAGACACACAGATAGATAGATAGATAGATAGATAGATACATATATTATATTTCAAGCGAGTGACTTAGGACTTGTGAAAGATACCCTGGTGTGGCCAAGTCCTATCTCATCATGCGTCGGACCCCCCCGGCACAAGTCCCAACTCATCAGGTGTCCGACGAGATTAGAAACTATGTTTGATTTTTTTTAGTGCGGCATGGACCACTTGTAAAACCATGATGACATAGGAATGAACTAGCAGAAATATATTAAGATGATCCTAAGTCATCACGCTCGTGCGCTGCAGCACTTTTTAAGTTTAAAAAAAATCTTCTCTGAATAAGTCATCAGAATCTACATACTTACAGAACATTACAGTACAGTACATTACATCACTACAATACAGTAAAGTACAGTACATTACACTACAGTACATTACATTACATTACAGCACATTACAGTACATTATATTACATACATGCACAGGACTTGGTGCACAAAATCGTATGTCACTAGAGGGGCACAAGTCCTAAGTCACCAAAACCTACATACTTACAGAACATTACAGTACAGTACAGTACATTACACTACAGTACATTACATTACCTTACAGTAAAGTACAGTACATTACATCACACTACAGTACATTACATTACAGTAAAGTGCAGTACATTACATTACACTACAGTACATTACATTACATTACAGTACAGTACATTACAGTACATACATGCATAGGGTTTGGTGCACAAAAATCGTATGTCACCAGAGGGGCACAAGTCCTAAGTCATCAGAACCTACATACTTACAGTAAAGTACAATACATTACATTACACTACAGTACATTACATTACATTACAGTACGGTACATTACAGTACATACATGCATAGGACTTGGTGCACAAAATCGTATGTCACTAGAGGGGCACAAGTCCTAAGTCATCAGGACCTACACACTTACAGTACATTACAGTACAGTACATTACACTACAGTACATTACATTACATTGCAGTAAAGTGCAGTACATTACATTACACTACAGGACATTACATTACAGTACAGTACATTACAGTACATACATGCAAAGGACTTGGAAATCGTCTGTCACCAGAGGGGCACAAGTCCTAAGTCATCAGAACGTACATACATATATTACATTACATTGCAATACAATACATTACATCCCAATACATTTTTCATTTTTTCAATTTATTTAATTGCTTTAAAATACTGTCTATATATAAATCGAAGGAAAAAAATGGAAAATCACAGATTTTTTTTTGAAATATGTTTTTTTGAAGATGGGCACAAGTCCTAAGTCATCATTTTTTCAACGATTGGCTCGAGGACTTCGACCCAACGACGGGGTAGTGCAATGGGAACCACAATAGGGAAACACAACGGGAAGTGGTCCCCGTTGCGCTACCCCTTTTTTGGGTCGAAGTCCTCGAGCCAATCGTTGAAAAAATGATGACTTAGGACTTGTGCCCATCTTCAAAAAAACATATTTCAAAAAAAATCTGTGATTTTCCATTTTTTTCCTTCGATTTATTTACAGAAAGTATTTTAAAGCAATTAAATAAATTGAAAAATATAATTTTGTTTTTTTCACTTTTCCTTTTTCTCTGTGGTTTCCCGTTTTGTTTCCCCGTTGTGCTTCCGTATTGTATTCCCCCGTTGCACTACCCCGTCGTTGGGTCGAAGTCCTCGAGCCTGCCTTTCCGCCAACGCGCGCGCGCGTTTTCATGCGCGCGCGCGTTGGTGGAAAGGCGGAGAGGCTGGCCCGAGGACTTCGACCCGGTTCCCCGAGATCCAGTGCCAGCTCTCAGCCGGACACCACAACGGGGTGTTACAACGGGGAGACACAAAGGGAGAAAAATAACGGGGAAATGATGCAAAATGAGAAATGTCAAAAAAATGAAAATCACAAATTTTTGAAAACTAGAAAAAACTGCTTTTGTAACATAGTGAAATGTTAAAATTTGTTCATATCTATCTGAAAA